CACTCTATGCATGAATATTTTAAAAAAAATTAATTAATTTTTTTTTTAAAATTTTGATGTAATAACTTGTAATTTATTCTTATCTAATATAAAAATGTAATGGAATGTATATTTTATATAATGTATATTTATCAATCTATATATCTTTTTTTTTAAATATCAACATTTTACAAGGGATAAATTTAGAGTATTAGGGGTACTCTACACTAACATGTGACAACTCTAAAGAAAATTAACAATATATGTTAAAAAATTATTAATTCAATTCACATATACAATGGATCTTTTCAAAAGCTCTACTACAAGCCACTTCCAAAAATGATACTTAATAAAATCAAATATTTCACTAATAATTAACACAGAATATTATTATAATTTCTCTCCATTTCTTTTTTTCACATTGGATTCCACACATGTTTAGTAACGTTTAATACAAAATTTCAGATATGACATAAAATTATTTAAACACCATATACCACAGTTTCATAATTATCTATCTATGTATCTATATCTATACATTATATTTATTACCAAAGTATAATTATATTAATTTAAATTTAATATTAATGAAAAATTAATGAGTTTCTTCTTGACCTTATAAATAAATGTAATATGTCTTGATTTTAATATTTTATTTCTATGTTTTTTTTTATGTGTCTAATACCTTTAATTAATTAATTATTATTATTTTTTAATATTTATTTTAACTCTAAAAATATTTTTAAAATAATTTCTATATCTAGGTATGAATTTTAAAATATGAAAATAAACTTAAATTTTTTTTCTTTTTGTAAAAAATAAAGGAATATCCTTTTATAAAAACAATTTCTACATCTAATTTAAAAATAAAAAAATTATGAAAATATGTTTTCAAATAAATTTCTTTCAGTCCTTAAATGGGTGGCTTTTGGTACTTTCAGTCCCGTGTTATCAGATTTATATAAAAGTGTTGAGATTTATAAATCTATATCTATATATTAATTTATTTTCAGATTATTTTTAAATTATATATAGATTTCACATTAATTAAAAATTAAATATTATCTTCTTGACCATATAAATAAAAGTAATATGTCTTTATGAGAAAAAAAAGTAATATGTCTTAATTTTAATAATTTATTTCTATATATTTTTATTTTTACTTTCAACCCCTAATACCTTTAATTTGCTTTTAATATATTTTTTTGTTAGGTTAAAGCTTTTACATGACAATTCCATTTTTTTTATTTAATATTTAAAATCTTTCTTTATATTAGAAAACAAGAGCTGTTATAAAAAATTAATTAAATTTAATTTTTTTATAACTTCCATAAGTTTTCCTTTTCTAAAAATAAATTGAATATCCTATTATAAAAACAATTTCTACATCTAATTTAAAAATAAAAAAATTTATTAAAATATGTTTTCAATTAAATTTCTTAAATGCCAGAAATAAAAAAGAAATATTATTTCTCGTACATATTTAATAACTTATTACTTAATAAAACAATTCTTTTCAAATTTGTGTTCTTTTATTTCAAAAAAAGTATAAAAATGAAAACTAAAGTTCCATATAAATTTTATCTTCCTTTCAATTAGAAAAATAAATATAACAAAAAAATTATAATTTTTTTTCTAAAAAAGTTAAGTTAAATTTATTTTACACAATTGGTTAATAAATAGTAATAATTTTTTATAGACATCATAAAGTATTATTACATTTCATACAACTACCAAAATTAAATTTATTTACAAAGATTTATTTATTTATTATTTTTCTTTCATAAAATATAATAAAGAACTCACTATTATTTAGCTCCTGGTAACTATTCCATGAGTACATTCAAAGATCTCATTGAAGTTTTGAACTATTGAACCAATGCATTTTTTGGTACTTTCTGACATTATTTGTTGTTGATTTATGACTAAAATTAATTGTTTAGAGTGTTTAAGGTGTATAAAAGGAGTTTTTTTTTCATAAATATTAAATTTGTAATTTTTTATATACACAAAAATTCAAACTTGAGACTCTACTTAAAAGTTATCAAGCTGTTTGTTACTTGGATTAACCTTCTATAATATATTTTATTTTATTTAATTATATATATCATTATCAAAATTTCAAAAAAGCATACAGATTATTCCAAACGAAAACTACAAATGCAAATTAACATTTTATGACTAACAATAATGGCTTTATATATTTAAAATAATATAATATTAAAAATTATTTATCTTAATAATATCTGTAATTTATCTAAATTAAATCAATTTATTTTTATAAATAATTTGTAATTTTAAATTAATTTTTTATAATTTTTAATTTTTAAATAAAATTATTTTTATGAATTCTCTTAAATGAGAATATTTCTTAGTGTTACTTCTTTTTCTTATCATTTGACATGACTTTCTATGCATGAATATTCAAATTTTTTAAAATTAAAATTAATTTTTTATTTAAAATTTTTATAACTTTTTTTTTATTTTTAAAAGGTTTTTCTTGGATTGAAGTTGTTGAGAGCTTAATTTGTTGCGACATTGTAATTCGAATTCATCAAATCAGGGTTTTGGCAGTGGAATCCCATCAAAGACCGTGGACGAAGATTTTCTGGTGAGCAGGGTCTACATCAGCCAACTAGCGAACATTGTTCTCGAAATCTAGATACTTCTCCGCGGCTTGCTTGACGAGAGAGTGCAATTGCTCCTTCGTGAAGGGTTCCAGAAGCTTCTCAACGGGCTCATCTTCGAGACTAAGGAGGTAATTAAGATTGCAGCACCCTGCAGCCTTTGACGTTCCCCACATCGTCTTCGTTCTCACTTTTACTGCGGGGTCGATGCTATTTTAGGAGCGTTGGGATCTTCCTGATATAGGACAAATATTTTCAGATTCAGAACTTAAGTGGAAGGGTTGTGCCTCTTCGGTGTACATCCAAGTATCTAGAAGTTGGAGAATTCAAAGGTGGAACAGAGGTCTAGAGGAAGGGGTAAATTTGGTGGACATCTTGGAAAAGTTCTCAACAATTCCACATCGTACTTTTTTTATGAATTTTCCACTTGTAATTGGTGTTTCAGCCTTGTGGCGGATATTTCAACGTGGGGGAAGGTGGTTGATGTTTTCATACCTCAAAAGAGTGATAAACTAGGACGTTACTTTAGTTTTGTGCGTTTTGTGGATGTGGCGGATGCCAAGAGTTTGGAGGTTAAGCTTAGATCTATTGTCATTGGCAGAATGCACTTGTCTATCAACTTGACGAGGCATGCAAAAGGAAAAAACTGTGGGTACAAAAGTGTCTGCGGAAGGCAGTGAAACGAGACACTCCTTTGTCAAAGGAGCTACAAAGACGTTAGGGAATACGTATTCAGAAAAGCTTAAAGCACCCCGTCTAGTTGAGACACACATAGGGCAGAAGTGGGTGGAAAAGAAGAAACCTTGGGCTCACCTTGAGTTTGAGGTGGATGAAGGGCGAATTGAGGAGTGTAGAGGTGCTATGGTCGGACACCTTCATAGAAAACAGGATTTAAAAAATATGCGAGGGGCTCTTCTGCGAGAAGGTATGTTGGATATTAATCTCACGACCATGGGTGATGATATGGTGTTAGTGGAATCTGATGCGGGGGTAGATTTAGAGGATACAGTATCGCTCAACAAATTGTGGTGGGAGAAATGGTTCCATGATCTATGAGAGTGGCACCCAAGTATGGTAGCTGCGCAGAGGATGACTTGGGTACGTTGTTATGGGGTCCCTTTGCATGCTTGGGGTGAATTTTTCTTCCGTAAGTTAGTTTCTTTGCTTGGTGATTTTATCTAGATAGACCAAGTCACAGTAGAAAGACGACGATTGGATTATGGGAGGATACATTTAGGTACTACCATTGCTGAGCTTATCAAGCAGAACATTACAGTGAAAGTCAATGATCGTTTTTACTCAATAGTCATGCTTGAAGAGCATACCAGTGACGTATTAGCTGCAACAGAGGAAGGCATAACTAACTCTTCTGAGGACGGCAATGACTCTTCTGAGGTTGGTTCAATGGAGTTGGAAGAGTTGGATAACTATTCTAGTGAGGAGGAGGGTGTGCTGCAAGGTGATATCAGAAGTAAGGGTCGTTTGGTTGATTCTGTGATTAGGGGTGAAGTGTCAGCAAAAGAGTGTTTGGTGGATGAGGGTTTAGGGACTGGTGGTGTGGATGCTATGAGTTCGACGGTGGCTATCTGTGATGCTGTGAATGAGCCTTCTGAAAATGTGGAGAGGGGAGTCCAACTAGTAAGAGATGGATTGAATTTGTTAGACTCGTTTGGATTAGACGCATTGATTTGGAAAAATCCAGAATCACGGGATATGAAGACAATTGGGACAGCGCAAGTCGATCCCGTTCAATCCAAAAATGAGAAAGAGAGGGTCAATGTGCGCGAATCTCTTCGAAAGGCACGCTCTGTGAAAGGTAGTCGAGGTAATGAAGGAGAGAAGAGACATAAGAGCGCAGTTTTCATAGAACCCTCTCGAAAAAACCCTAAGAATCATAATAAAGAAGTGTCAATGCCATCGCAACTTAGAGGACAAGTATCGCTAACTGATGAAATCTCAGCTAATGCTTCCAAGAGCTCCTATAACTCGCATCCTTCCAATCCTTCAGTGGAGGTGGGGGAGCGAATGGTTGCTACAGATTGTGATGATGAGGTAATGACATCGAAGTTACTAGACATTGGCAGGAAGGTTGGTTTGGTTGTACATGGGAATGATGAGCAGGTTCGAGAGAAATTGATTGAGATGGAGGTACGTGATAGAAGGATTGCGAAAGAATATGGGGTTCGCTTTGATACTAAATGAAGATTGGCTCATTTAATTGTCGAGGGCTAGGGAGCGCGGTAAAGCAAAAGGTGTGTGAGATTGTTCGCTCTGAAGGTCTGGAGTTCTTGGCGATTCAGGAAACAAAACTTGAAATATGTAATAGTAATTTATGTGCGCGTCTGTGGGGTTCTGTGAATTTTGATTGGTGTGCCTTGCATTCCATTAGCAGAAATGGGGGTATGCTTTCACTTTGAAATACTTCCAAAGGTAAAATACTTTTCTCCTTTTCTGGTACTAGATTCCTGGGTGTTTGCTTGCAGGTATTGGCTACTGGAAACCTTTGTGTTGTGGTGAATGTTTATGCATTGTGTAGACTAAGTGAGAAGAGAAAGTTATGGGATGATTTGCTCATGACAAGAATGGGTTTTGGCAAATTTATGTGGTGCATATTGAGTGACTTCAATGCTGTGAGACAAGTGAAAGAGAAGAAGGGTTGTCAGGTAGACCATGGTATCTCTGAAATGGAGGGCTTCAATTCTTTCATTCAGGAAATGGAACTTATGGATCTTCCACTTATGGGTAAAAAATTTACATGGATAAAAGGGGATGCTTCTATGATGAGCAGGCTGGATAAAGTCCTTGTTTCTAGTTCCTGGCTTGATTACTAGGGAGATGGTTTCATTCAGGTTCTGAGCAGAGATGTGTCTGATCATTATCCCATTATTCTTAAGCACAAAGTGGTTAACTGGGGTCCGAAGCTGTTTCGATTTAATAATTGTTGGCTGACTCATAAAGAAGTTGTGGAGGTGGTGGAGGTGGTGGAAGAAGCATGGAAAAGAGATATTACCCTCCCATGGGCTGCCCAGAGAGCTAGCCAGAGGTTAAGGAATGTTAAGATTGCATTGAAAAAATGGAATATTGAGGTATTTGGAAATGTTGATCAGGTGATATCTGATTTGACAACTGAGTTGAGCTTGATTGATGATAAAAATTCTGTGATGGAACTTTCCGATGTGAAAAAGAAGCGTCAACATATGTTGGTGGGTGATATTTGGAAGGCTAGGAAGAATAGAAAGAGTCTCATAGCCCAAAAAGCTCGGGTAAGATGGGGGAAGGAGGGTGATTTAAATACAAAGTTCTTTCATTTATGTGTTAATGGGAGGCGGCGACGAAATAATATACCCGCGCTTCAAATTGGGGAGAGATGTGTCGAAGAGGTTAATGAGATTAAAGCAGGTGTGGTGTCCTATTTTGCGGCTCATTTTAGTAGTAGAAGTTGGCTTCAACCTACTATTGATATTAATAATTTACCAAGAGTCTTTGTTATCAGAATGAGGAGCTTGTTAATGCTTTTTCGAAGGAGGAAGTGGGAAGGATGATTTTGGAGTGTGAGAATGATAAAAGTCCGGGGCCTGATAGTTTCAATTTTGTGTTTCTTAAGAGGTTTTGGGGAGTGATTAAGGAAGAAGTGATGGGTATGCTTACTGAATTTTGTAGAAATGGGAAGCTACCTAGGTCTTTGTTATCTTATTTTGTAGCACTTGTGCCAAAAGTATCTTGCCCACAACAAATATCTGATTTTTGGCCTATCTCATTATTAGGTTGTCTTTATAAGATTGTTTCCAAGTTTTTGGCAAATAGGTTGAAAGGGGTTTTGGATTCAATAATTTCAGAAGAACAATCAGCCTTTATTCCGGGAAGGAACATGTTAGATAGTGTGTTTGTGGCTAATGAAGCAGTTGATTATATGCGGAGGTATAATAAGAGGTGTTTTGTGTTAAAGCTTGGTTATGAGAAGACGTATGATTCGGTATAGTGGGGATATCTTTTGTTTATGTTACGTAGCTTTAGATTTTCAGACAAATGGGTCAGTTGGATGGAAGCTTGTATGTGTGGGGGAAGCCTATCAACTTTGATTAATGGTTGTCCTACATTAGAGGTTCATATTGAGCGGGGCCTAAAACAGTGGGATCCTCTTGCCCCTTTTCTTTTTCTTATGGTAGCGGAAGGGTTAGGAGTTCTTATGCGGAAGGCAGTGACTTGCGGGTTGTTCTCTGGTGTGAAGATTGGGGTAGGGGGACCAAATATTTCTTTGCTGCAGTTTGCGGATGACACATTGATTATGGGAGAAGCTTCGGTGCAGAATTTGTGGACTTTGAAAGTAGTATTGCGTAGCTTTGAATTAATGTTAAGTATGAAAATTAACTTCCATAAATCTTTTGTATTGGGGATTAACACTGGTGATGACTTTGAAAACTTGGCTGCGGAGTTCCTACATTGTAAGATTGGTAGTTTCCCATTAAAGTATCTCGGGTTACAGTTAGGTGTTAACCCGAAAAAGCCTAGTGCATGGAAGGGTGTGTTAGAGGCTCTTAAGAAGCGGTTAGCGTCATAGAAGCATAGGTATTTATCGATTGAAGGTAGGGTGACTTTGATTAATGTTGTTCTTAATTCTATGCCATTGCACTCGTTATCCTTTTTTAAGGTGCCGAAGTCGGTAATAAAGGAGATTGTCACTATCCAATGGAATTTTTTATGGAAGGGTGTTAAGGATGGATCTAAAATCCCCTGGGTGAAATGGAAAACGGTATGTAGACCGCGGAAGAATGGTGGCTTGGGCAATAGGAATGTGCAGTGGTTTAATTGGGCGCTTCTTGGTAAATGGTTGTGGCGAGATGTTAATTGTTCTAGTTCATTGTGGGTGCGGGTGTTGGAATCTAGATATGGAAGATTAGCTTCTTCTATTCAGCGTTCATTAGTTCACAACAAATGTTCTTTGTGGTGGCGTGATTTGTTGGAGGTTATTCATCAAGAGAATTCATGGCTGGATGAGAAGTTTGATAGAAGTGTGGCTGCAGGTTTACACACTCTTTTTTGGAGAGATAAGTGGGTAGGCGGGGTGCGATTGTGTGAAGCATTTTCGCGATTATTTGCGGTGACGAGGAATGCTGAATCATGTGTATTGGAGAATAGTTTTTATGATGGCACTAGGTGGGTTTGGAATGTTAGTTGGCGAAGAGGACTCTTTCAACATGAGATCTCGAGCTTTAATCTTTCGTTGGAGCTTGTGGATGGAGTTTCTATTAAGTTACTACAAGAAGATAAATGGGTATGGAGGGCAGATTCTTCAGGTTGTTATTCAGTGCAATCTGCGTATTCATGGCTATTTGAACTTTTTGGTGGTCCTAATAGTGTAGATCAGTGTACGGCAGATGCCTTGCAAAGGCTATGGAGAGGGAAGGTCCCTCTTAAGTGTCTGGTTTTTTCTTGGCAATTGTTGTTGAATGCACTTCCTTGTAAAGGTTTACTGATTGATCGTGGTATTCAAATTGATGATATAACTTGTTGCTTCTGTCATGGTTTGGAGGAACTTCCAACTCATTTATTTTTAATGTGTTCAGTTTCATCTCAAATCTGGTACTTTACTGCCCGTTGGCTTGGATTCTCACTGGTTTTGCCTTCAGATTTATCGACTCACTTGCTTTCTTGGGTTGGTGTTGGCTGTAGTAAAAGAGAAGGAATATGCTTATTAATTGTTTGGGTAAGTACAGTGTGGTCTTTGTAGTTGTTGCATAGAAATAGAATTGTATTTTCACATGGTGTTTTGGATGAGAGGGAGGTCCTAGATTCTATTATTCTGAGATCCTGGAAATGACTATCACTTATTAGTAAGGGAGAAACTATTATGTTAGCTGATTGATATTTGAACCCACGAAATTGCATCTATTTTAATTTTGTATAAGTATATTTTTGTTTTTTTATTTCTCTGAGTAAGTAATTTATTCTGTGTATATGAGTTTTGAGTTCCCCTTGAACTCTTTTTAATAATATTTGTTTTACCTATAAAAACTTTTTTTTAAATTTTTTTTAAAGTTATACCTTGTAATTTATTCTTATCTAATATAAAAATGTAATGAGATGTATACTTTATATAATGCATATTTATCTATCTATATATTAATATCTATCCATTATATTTATTATCAAAGTATAATTATATTATATTTAAATTTAACATTAATGAGTTTTTTCTTGACCTTATAAATAAATGTAAATTTTAAAAAACAATTTTCACATCTAATTTAAAAATAAAATAATTATGAAGTTTTTTTTTCCAAATAAATTTCTTTCAGTCGTTGAATGGGTAGCTTTTGTACTTTCAGTCCCGTGTTATCAGATTTATATGAAAGTGTTATGATATTTATTAATCTATATCTATACATTAATTTATTTTCAGATTATTTTTAAATTATATATACATTTTTTGGTAAAAAATTATATATAGATTTCACATTAATGAAAAATTAATGATTACCTTCTTGAACATATAAATAAAAATAATATGTCTTAATTTTAATAATTTATTTTTATATATATTTTTTACTTTCAATCCCTAATACCTTTAATTTAATTTTAATATATTTTTTTAGGTTAGAGCTTTTACATGATAATTTTATTTTTTATTATTTAATAATAAAAATCTTTCTTTATATTATAAAACAAAAGCTGTTATATGTGTTCATTAATTATGCCTAGTGAGCACCTTTTGTTTTGTTTTGTTATACAATGGGGCTGAAGCCAATATCTAAGTAAACACTTAATTGGCAGTAAATTGATATTCTCATATAATTTTGAATACAAACTTTTAAAATACGTTTTGTAAAGAGCAAACAAACTACAAACCCTTCCTACAAATCTAAAAATTTAAAATATCCATATTTAGCAAAGACCAAATATCAGAGTAAGTCCTGTCAAAATAAGTAAAATTTTTTGATTGATTGATTGTATTAGCAAAATAAAATAAAATAAAATAAAATAAAATTTTGATTAACTTTTCTGTAAATATTACTAAATTTAGCAAACTTAACACGTTTAAGTGAAAGTTTAATATCTTGAATTAGTGGTTATAATTTTGAATTGTTAAAAGTAAGGATATAACTTTTTTAGAATCTCTTTCTGAGTGGAATGTTTTTCTGAATAATCAACTGCATCTCATATTAGATGGTCCACAAGTCCACAACTCATCTGCAAGAGGAGAGCAGACATCCAAACTATGTATTAATTGTTTACCAGATTATTTTAAAAAATCATATATATATATATATATATCATTAATATAAAATAAATAAGTATCTTTTAATCTATATTGTCATATAATATGTTTTAATTTTAATATTTTTTAATTATTTTTAATTATATATATATTGTTAAAATTTAAAATATTCATATAATAAAGAACCAAGTTGATATTTTTCTCAAAATTTCAAAGAAGCATACAGATTGTTTCAAATGAAAACTACATACACAAATAAACATTTTAGTGACTAATAATAATGGCTTTTAATATTTAAAATAATATAATATTAGAAATTATTTATCTGAATAATATGTATAATTTATCTAAATTAAATTAATTGATTTTTTCATATAATTTGTAACTTTTAATTTTTAAATATTTTTTTTAAAATTCTCTTAGACAAGAGTATTTTTGTGTGTTCTCTTTGTTATCATATGATGTCACTTTAAAATTTTTCATTTAATCATTTTTTTTAATTTTTATAACTTGTTATAATATTTTAAAGTAATAACTTATAATTTATGCTTATCTAATATAAAAATATAATGAGAAGTATACTTTATATAATACATATTTATATATCTATATCTATACATTATATTTATATAATATATAAATTTAATATGTCTTAATTTGAATAACTTTTTCTATTAATTTTAGTTTAATTTTAGGAATCTTCTATTTTGAATTTATTTTTTAAATATATTTTGGTTAAAATTAAAATATTCGTATAATAAATAAACAAGTTGATATTTTTATCAAAATTTGAAAGAAGCATACAAATTATTCCAAACAAAAACTACACACGCAAATCAATATTTTAGGACTAACAATAATGGCTTTTTATATTTAAAATAACATAATATTAAAAATTATTTATCTAAATAATATCTATAATATATCTAAATTAAAATAACTTATTTTTATGTATAATTTTTAATTTAAATTTTTAAATAAAAGAATTCTTGGGAATTCTATTAGATGAGAGTATTTTTGTGTGTTACTTCTCTTTTTTTATTATATGACATGACTTTCTATGCATGAATATTTAAAAAATTAATTAAATTTAATTTTAAATTTAGTTTTTATAAATTTCATAATTTTTATTTTTCTAAAAATAAATGGAATATCCTTTTATAAAAAAAATTTCTACATTTAATTTAAAAATAAAAAATTATTAAAATATGTTTTCAAATAAATTTCTTTTATGTCAGAAATAAAAAAAAATATTTCTCGTACATTGAACTAATGCATTTATTAAAATAGTAAAGAACTCACTATTATTTAGCTCTTAGTGGCCAT